GTGGCTTCCCTTTTTACCCTGTTGGAGAAGTTTTTGGATTTTCCTTGAGAAGTGGAAGAATATCCCTTGTTCATGAATAGTAAAACTCAATATTGTGAAAACAGCAATACTACCAAAGGCAATTTACATGTTCAATGCAATCCCAATGCAAATACCAATCCTATTCTTCAACAGATGGAAAAGGCAATCTCCAGTTTCATTTGGAATGGAAAGAAGCCCCGAATAAAAACAAAAAAACAACAAACACTCCTTAAAAAGAGGAACAGGTAGGAGGCATCTCATTCTCTGATTTCAAACTCTACTACACCACACTTGTGGTCAAGACAGTGTGGTACTGGTACAATGACAGACACGTAGATCAATGAAATAGATTTGAGAACCCAGAAATCAGCCCACCTACCTATGGTCAACTGATTTTTGTTCGTTTGTTTTGGGGTTTTTTTTGGTGTATGTGTACCGTCAAATGAGATCTTTCTACTACAGGAGGAGATTGTCCCTCCTTCTCCAGCAGAGCAACTGGTGGATTCAAACCGCACACCTCTGGGATTGCAGTACAGCTTCTTGCCACTAGGCCACCAGAGCTCGCCTGGTCAACTGATTTTTGACAAGGAGATAAAATCAGTTAAGTGGGGAAATGAAAGCCTTTTTTAAAAATGGTACTGGCAAAATTGGAAAACTACCTGCTGAAAACTCAAGCAAGATCCACACCTCACTCTGTACACAAAAACCAACTCTTCATTGATCATGGACCTAGGATTAAAACCAAGGACTGTACACTTCATTAAAGAAAAGGTTGGAAGAACTCTAAACATCCTAATCCACAGCATCAACAGTCTTCCAAACATCCTGAAAAATCTGCAACCACAAGAGGATAAAATAGATGAATGGGACCTTCTAAGAATCAAATCCCTATGCACATTCCAAAACTTCTCCAACAGAGTAAAAAGATATTATTTCTTATATTGTATTTGAAGCTTTTACATTTGAAGTTTAAACTAATTTAAATCTTAAGAAAGCCAAAGCCCATATTTTCACCCATATTTGAACTTAGTCTTTCTTAACTTGCCCCTTTCCACATTTTTCTTTCAAAACCTGAAGAATAATAATTTTAAGAAACAAAAACAAAACTAGACACTTACTGAAATTTGAGGAAGCATTTCTCTTGATATTCAGGAGATTGTCATTAAAATAAATTTTGAGGACCAAAACTGTAGTTACAAAATAAAGTGATTTTCACTCATAAGCAGTAGAAAAACCAAGTTTATGGACTTGTTAGAGTCCCAGGAGCAATGACAGGCTTCAACAGACTTTCTCTCTTATTATATTTTTTATTCTATGTGAGAAAATGCCACAAAAGACACTTTAGTGTTTTGGTTTAATAAGTTGATTCTCCAATACAGTTGTAAAGCATGACCTGACAAATGCCAACAATAAATATTCAAAATTCTTTTCTATCAACAATCAAAAGCTATCTGTATTGGAAACTTTTGTAAATAGCGCTTTTAATGACGACAACAACATAGCATTTTCATGAAGCTCTGGTGGCAGAGTGCATACATAATATATTACCCTGCTATCTGAAACATTGATGGCTTGATTCCATCAGCTGGTGCATTTTAATGAGCTCAAAGTTTATTCAAGGCAGCGCTGGTGGCCTCCTGTAAGGATTGGGTGGCCAACCCAGAAGAATGCAGTTCAAGTCCCCCAGCTTCTCTGCAAGAGAGAAAATTGGGCAATCTCCTTCTATAACATTTGCAGCCTTTAAATGTGATGGCATATTACAACAAGAAGCTTATTTAAAGGAGCTCTGGCGGTTATAGTGCCTATTGAGTTGAGCTGCTAACAAAAAAGTCAGCAGTTCAGATCTATCATTTACTCTGAGGGAAACAATGGACAGTCTCTTCCTGGAAAGAGTCACGGTCTCAGAAACCTCATGGAGTGTCACTGTGAATTAGAAGTTACTCATTGGCACTGAACAAAGTTGATCAAAACGTGCTTATCCTTCTGTATCTCTGTACTTGATGTGCGTCACTTACAAATGGAAAGGTCCAACTTGCAAGGTGTTTCTATATTAGTGGGAGAAATGAAACTAAGCTACTATCCACCCACTGCTGTAGCATTAATTCCAACTCATAACAACCCTCTATGAGTAACTCGTGGACTCAAACCATTGAACTTTCAGTTAGCAGCAAAACACAGTACACACTACAGGCCACCAGAGGTCCTTGAAAAATATTAATACATTGCTGTTGTTTTAGGTGCTGTGGAGTTGTCTAACTCATAGTGACTGCACAACAGAGCGAAGCCCTGTCTGATCTCGTGTCAGCTTCACAGTCTCTGCCGTGTTTAAACTCAGAATCTTGTATTACACCCAAGCACACTCCTGGAGCAGTTGATTGAAATAACAACTGGCTTTTCCAGGAGCAATTGAAAAGGAAGAAATAAACCAAGTGAAGAATGGAAACAACATGACAATAAAAAGAAAAATTAATAAAACCCAAGAGCCAACCGTACATTTTAGGAACAAAATTCATCCTTTAAAGTTTAAAGGAATATTTCATTCGGTACATTTGTGAGATTCTTTCACCTGAATAAAAACTGACCATTTCAACCAGATTTTTTTTAAAACACACAGAAAGCCTCTCTTTTTAGTTTTGAATACTTACTTCTTTGGAAAATGAATGTAAATATGGACTCTTGTACTTGCCGAGGTTCAGGGCAGAGTTAATCATATGGAGTTACGTCACGATTTTTATGTAGGAGATATATTAAGATATTTTAAACTAAAAATAGTTTGGTGAGAAGACAGGTATAACAATGAAGAGAGAAATATAATACTACAAAAAAGTTGTTGTAGTAGGACCTGCATCTGCAAAAGGTCAGAAATATACAATCCAAGTAGAAATCACAGGGACAGTGGAGTTTCTGTGTCCTTCTTCCACGGATAAAGATCTTCATCTTATGAATGTTTCCCACTTCCAACAGTTAAATCCCTAAGCAGTTACTTTTACAAGCACCTTTTAAAAGCCTAGGATTTGCTAAGAAATTCCCCACCCCCTCCTTTTTGTCATAATCTCTCATGGTTTTTGAGTTTAAAACAAGCATGTCAGTGACTGCAGATGATTTCTGTGCAGAGGGCAATGAGGAGGTAAGTGAAAGCTCTCACCCAGAACTGGAGACAGGCTGATGGTCAGCAGCAGCAGAAGCAGAGTTGCAGAAGTGGACCTCATTGTGCCTGGAGGTGGAGTTCAGGCTTCAATTCTGAGTGAGTCCAAGCTGTAGGTTCTCAGCTCCAGAGAGTCTTATTTATTTACACCAAGAAGTTCCCTCCCACTGCCTTTGTCTCCAGAAGGTTAGCTGTATCATCATTTCCAAAAGCCCCCAAATATTGCTGAGCTTGCTGATTTTGGACTGCCTTTTGCAAACTTTATGAATTTGCTATGGAGCACTCTTGGAAAAATAAAATATTTCTTGAAAACGTAGACCATCAATGACAGGGATGCTGCAGTAAGTTGGAGGTGGGGGGAGAGGGGAAAATGTATCTGTGAGGGCTCCAAGACCCTCTAGGATAACTACCTGTGAGTGAGGCTTCTATTACTTCTCTATTGAAGGGTCAGCAGACATTTGAATGATTGGCATTTGAATGAAACTAGAAACTATGTCAAGCACAGCATTGTATTCCTTGGAGAAGATCTACCCTTTGGTAAGTGTTGAGCAAATATTTGTAGATTTTTCGACTGATTCCTCATTTACAAATCCTTGTGTAAGTTAGAGTACTCTTTTTTCTACCAGTCTTTGTCATCTTCTATTTTAGCACCTGAAAAATATGATTACTCATATAATTTGACTATCATGGAAATTCTGGGCAGGGGCAGAGTGTGCCTCTCACTGGTGTTCCAGTGAAGAGAATCTTTCTGGCTATTGTATGCAAATTTTTGAGAATGAAGACTATGTAGCAATGGAGAGAATAATTAGAGCTTCATCAGCTGCTGAAACCTGTGCTATAATCCCATATATCATAAGTCATTAATTTAAGCATACGTGAATTTAGATATGATTCTACCAAAGAGCCCGTTGGGACAATGGATACACACAGCATTAACTTACTTGCCAGAATTCTTTGTATTAAACACACACACACCCACCCCCTCACACCCTTACACCCATGGACAATGGCTTATCTGGGCTATGATATGGAAGACTACACTAGTGGGAAATGTGGATGCCTCAAACATGATTCCTTTAAATCACAGAAAAAAATGAGAGATTTGTTCTTCCTGGTGTGATTTCCTAAATGATTTTTTTTTAATTCTCTTTCTTACTTTCTCTAATACTCAAGTAACATTGTACATGGTTAGCATCTTAGATGCTGAAATATATATGGGGATGAGGATTGTGGCAATGCCATTCACACAGTCTCATCCACCATTCATTGTCTTGAATGGCCTCACCGTTCTTAAAATAGCCTATTCTATAGTTGGGTCGCTCTAGCTATTACAAAGTTATTATTGTCTTTATATATTTTTATTAGTAGTATTAATTTTATTTTTATTATTATTATTAATTTTAATGAAAATTTACAGAGACTTTGGATTTCCATTCATTCATTGTTGCACTTTTCTCCATGCCCACCCTTCCCCTCCAGTGAAAAAAAGTTATTCTTTATGTTTCCATGAAGCCATATCCTTATAGCTTAGTTGTTTCATACTAATTCAACCCTTTATGTCTTTATAAAATAATTATAAACTAGCTCTTATATTAGAGCACTCCAAATAATCGAAGTCCTGTGGCATCACTTGGGTCCCCCAGGAAGCTGATGCTGATATGGAGGTTGGCGTAAAGGATATTCTAGAGCCAGACAATTTTTATCTTGTGATAAAAGAAAGGATGAGGCAGGACTGGGCAGGGAAAGGCTTTTGATGGAATTGAAAACATGATACCTGCGAAACAAAGAGAGGAGGAGGCAGGGTTGGTCATGGAGAACTTCAGACATCAACACATTCGACAAAACCGTTGAAAATAGTAGAGAGTACTGCAGACAGATTACACACTTACAGTGTGTGTGAGTGTTGGAGTGAAAGTGAGACCCACTGATGACAGAGGGATGGGTAGATATATTGGCAGGATTCCTTCAATAGACAGAAGCATCCAAGCCCTGGAACCCCTGTCCTCCTCGGTTATTGATCTGAGGCTTCTTAGAAACCAGGGCTTTGAACCAGTTCATTCTGGCTCAACATCTACTGAGAAACTGTATTTCTCATCCTAAATCATACTGAATGAGTATCTCATTTTGATGAGATCTCTAGGGATTGACAAGAACCTATATAAGATTCCAAGAAGGGGATCTATAAGAATCTGGGAATATTATTAAAATGTAGACTCTGATTCAGTATGTTCAGTGGAAATGCAGTTTCTTGGTATGGAGTCAAACAGGGATGAACTGTTTCAAAATCCTGTCACAAACAGCAATTTCTTATTGAACACTAAGGCAGGTCCTACAAAGAGTAACAGCTGGAGGCTGTGAGTGCAACTGGACGCTTTTTATAGATGACGACTGAGCTCTCCCTTTAAGAGGTTTATTTGAGTAGTGTATTTGCATCACTATCATAGTTTGTACATAGAATTATAAACTAGAGGCCAAAATCACAAATTAGAGCCACCTGGTCAATGATTTGACTTCTCTGTGCTTCATAATTTATAATGAGGATAGTTATGGAAAAGCTTCAGGCCTTTTGTTCATAGGGTCACTATCAGTTATGCTCGACTCAATGGCAATCAACAACAACAACAAGGTGATGTGAGGATTATATTAATTTCAAAGTACTGTTTTTAAAGTACCTGGTACACAGTGTGTATTTAAGTCTATTTATGTGTGCATCTATGCATCTACTCTCTATCTTCCTAACTATTCACCCATAAATCTACACACATACACACACACACACACACACACACACATAAATATTCCATATGCATAAGTATATGTATTTATTTACTCACCTATATGTTCATCTCTGTGCATGCATGTCTCCATCCATCATCAGTAGGTTACTATTTTCATTCTAAAACACACACATTTCAAGTGAGAATACCTCTAGATCTTTGAACTTATAACAATTTGAAGTTTCTTCATCTCCTATTTATCTTTTTCATCATTTCTTAATAATTGCAAATGTCTTTTCTTTTTACCTTACCATGACTCTTTCTTCCTCACAACCATATACATATAAATTCTATCATGCACACGTCTCAACAATATCAAGTCTGTTACTTCCAATACATAGTAGAGGAAACACATTACCTTCTAGAAATGAGTTCTTAGATAAAATCACATTGTTTTGGACATTTATATTGAATTGGGAATCTATAAAGATGTCTATTTCTTTTTCAAAATGGTCAGTTTCTGACTTATTTACTTTTGTACAATTTAATTTTGGGACCTGAATAAAGGAGCTTTGCATTTGCCTCTGCCATATGGGTAATATATTTTCTTGCTAAGAGAGTAGAGACATGAAAGAGAGCAGACTCTGACTAAATCTACGAATTTTTTAAAACTAAAGGTATATTCTACTCCAAGATGAGCGGCTTTCTATCCACCAGATGATTCTAGAAGTTTCAAGTCAGATTCTCCATAATTTTATTTGTAATATGAATAGAAATTCCAAAACCACTGAAATGAGAGAGAGAGAGAGAGAGAGAGAGAGAGACTTTAATAATAGATGTGGGCCCGAAATGAAATTTATTTTAAAAATTACTTTCATAGATACTTCTTTCATTCAGAAACATCAAAACACAGCATGGTTTATATCAAGTCTGATTTCTTATGATCAGACACATAAAACTTGAGGAAAATAAGAAAAATTATGGAGAAAGTTTGATGATATACTCCATAGACTGTTGGCTGGTAACCTAAAGGCTACTCTCTGTCCATAGGTTCAAATTGACTGGGAGCTTGGAGGCAGAAAAAGAAGCAATCTCTTCCTGTGCAAGTTAGGACTTTAGAAGCCCAATAGAGGTTTAGCTATGTTCTGGCTTGATAGGAATTAGTTAAGTAATTCAATCAAGTCAGACTTTTCTGTATATACTCAAATAGTTTAATATCTTTGTACTTAAATTTTACTCCATTGATCAGCCACTTCACCTAAGAGCATTACGGAATTGTGCAATCTTGGGCCTTGTGCTCTAGGCAGACTCCTCTAAGAGATCTGAACGAGCCTGTGAGGACCTGACCTAGCACGGCTGCGTGGCTCACTGTGGTTTGCCTATTTCACAGTGAGTTGTGTGTAATTGTAAGTTGTTTCAGAGAAACAATTAGACAAGTCATCTCTTCAGAGTGTGATTCACTGATACCTCAATTAAAGTGGGCAAAACAAATGTGCTCACTGAGAGAGAAATTGCACTAACAAAAGAAATTATTCCTCAAGATGTTGAAAAGTGAAAGGTCATTATAGTAGAGACAGTATAACTGACCCAGGTCTGCCCATCTAACCAGGCAACACAGGTAGACTTTTTAGAGAAGAGTTGAAAAATGCTCCACGCACATAAGAGGACAGAACTCTCATAATTTTAATACTTCGTGACATCACAGGGTAGAATAAAAATGAAACTAACAAAATCGACATGTTCTTTTTCAGCGTTTAAAATCAACTCAATTAGAAACAGAAACTTATTCTATTTCATTAATAAAGACTATCCAACTAAATACTTGAAATCTATTTACTCCCACTTACTTTTCAGTAGAAAAGGGTAATGTTAGAGCTTAGACTGTGCAGTCAGACTGGGCTTGTAAGTTATTATTATTGGCTCCAAGCCTTGGTTCTTTGTGCCACTTGGGGCCAGGGACAGTAACTCCTTCTCAGACTTGTACAGGTAGTATAGGCTCTTTGCTCAAATAGTTTTGAGCAAACAGCAAATAGCAAATACTGTATAAGTATTCTATTTTTTTTTTTTACCTTTATGGACACGGAAAATTTTTGTTTTATTTTATTTCTTCATTGTTGCATATTTTTTCCTCCCCTCCCCTCCCCTTCCCCAGCCCATCCTGCAATACACCCCTTGTTCCAGATTGTTCTCATACATATAATGCATAATTTAATATTCTTTCAAGCGGTTCTTCCCCTCATCTGTTCTAAGGCATTGTTCATTATCTATCCACTCTTTCCAAATTCCCTTTCCATCTCTCCCATGTCTTTCCTATTTTACAACAGTGGTGTTATCACATAATATTTAT